TTTTTTTTTTTTTTTTTTTTTTTTTTGAAAAAAATAAAAGACCTCAGAAATAACTAACCCAATTATACGTGGATACGTTGTAGCTTTACAAGCGGGACGTAATATACCATATATAAGTTTTTTGAAATCGGTTCGATTAACGTTAAAATTTTTCAGGATTTTCGCAAGTTAGAAATTCTATATATTTTACATTCTTCCACCTCGGTACTTCCTGTTTGAAGATTTGCTATTTTTTGAAATTTTTTTTTTTTTTCCAATAACGCACACAGATTCGTCCGTATCGTCCGATTTTATCTTCAAGGTACTTTACCTATGGGTACCTGCCTTTATCGACACTTCTTATCTCCGTGAATCCAGCCCTCGCTCGTCTCTCGGTAGTTACTGCGCGATGACGTAAAAGGGGTAAAGACTGCTCTTACTCGACGTTGCTCGAAATCGTTTAAAACTTGTGAAAAAAAGCTGGTAGAAAAGAAAACAGCGTAAAGTTTTCTCGAGGCTGCTAATATTCCCGTAACGCCGAGGACTTTCTTATTTAGTGATAATTACAAGTTGCCCTCGTAAAGCCTCCGAGCGATTTAAAGAGGTTATCAGCAGTTGATTGTACGGCGTTCGGTGGAAAGGCGGGAAAATTCAAACGACCAATTTCACGTGATCGTCGAGTATCCGACGACGTGACGTAAAGTTATTAATTTCATGAAATTTCAGTGTACACTCATTAAGTCGTACAATCATATTATTTAATAATAACAATAATTATTTGCAAATTATTCTCGTGCATAATTTCCCAGTTTATATTAGCCGGACATTCAAAATATGCCCGGTTTTCGATACCAATGACATTTGCCAATCTATTCCCTCTGCGACCACGCGCTCGGGCACCCTTAAATGCCATACATTTCTAGTGATAATCCGTATTAGCATGGATTAATCGAATATTGCATTACGCATTGCTATCACTTTGATTCCAGCAATGCCGGTATGCCGCTCTACGGGCCTTAATAAAATAGCCAAATTCAAATTTCCCGCCGACGATACGCGGGCCCCTCCGACCCCCCTACACGGCCTACGCATTTTGAAACTGGCTGGCAACATAATCCGCATATCTACGCTGGGCTAATTAATCTACGTTATGCGCGAATTGCAACCCGGGGAAAGCAACAATTACACGCCAAGTATTCTCCACGTGTCCATTAAACGAACTTATGTTGTAATTAACTGGACGCGAAGTTCACCCGCGTTCGCTCGTTTACACGTAACGTCAAGTCATTACGAGGAGACACTAAAGTTACGAATTTACATAAGAGAGCATTGGCGTCCGAACTCTTTGGCTGTTATGAAAAAAAAGTCATGCAGATACAGCGCGAACGTATATTTCAGTTGGATCAGCTCGAACGGACCGCCTGAACGTGGTTTTTAACATGCGAATCGAATGGACGGAATAACTATGTGTTCACTTTGTAAAGCTTTTACAGGTTTTACATAGAGAACGGTATAGGAAATTAATATATAGAAATTTCGCTGTAGCCTTGGTCGCTTTTTAATGGCGTACAGTCAATTTCAATAGAAAATCCATAGGTATATGACGTATACGTATATCGATCGTACCTTGACACATTATGGTAATAATGTGCAATATGCTGATTGTCAAGTATCGACTCCTTCTCTGTATGTCCGCCATTGTAATCCTAGAACGTAGGACCTGCTGCTCTATTCCATTCCACGGTGTCGGCCTGAAACAGTCATTTTTTTTTTTATGGAAGAACAACAATTTCTTTACTTATGGTAAACAGGGGTTAGGGATGGAGCAGATACACGCGTCATTATTTTCATATGGGTAAGAACTAGTGGAAGCTTAATACGACGTTATAGCTAGGTAGACAAATGATTGTGATGGTAGTGTAGGGAAGTGAAAAAAAAACCGGCAAAAAGTGAAAAAAAAAAAAGAAAAGAGAGCAAAAGAGGAGGATGTAAAACTCAGTCGCTGCTTTTTATTTGATTTCGCCAAACGGAAGAACGTCAATCCTACTTGAGATACAAATTCATTCAATTTCCCGGTAAATGAAATTTATTGTTGTCGCCCGGAAGGACGAAGAAATTCTTCGTGTTCGAGAACGCACGAAATTCGTCTCAGTGAGGATACGGACGACGCTGCAATGTGCTACGTACGGGAAAAGGGTAACAACGTACAGAATTTGTATATGTATGAAGAACAAGAAGAGATCCCATCCTCGGGTTCAGAAAGTGCGTGAGACGTGTCTAATTTAAATTGAATTTCCAGGAGGACATTTGTGTTACACTGGACCTGGGAAAATATTAGAATAACCCAGCATGAGAAATTTGACGTTGCTTGTAGACAATTTCTAAAAAAAAAATGTAAAAAACTTACATGCCTAATTTCACCAGGTGACGTCAACCAACGATGATTAGACCGGTAGAAACGTCTGTGTACAAACGTCGATTCGAAATTCGCGCCAATCAAATGCGTCAACGCGAATTCTCCAAAGCCACGAAATCGTTAGCTACCCGTCACTACGTACTTCCATCCGTCCTATCACTGCGGTACAATTGACATTACCTAACACACATAGTACTAATCAGTTTTAACGAACTGTAATGCACGCTCATCAACTGCATTTACTCAGTCCAACTTTCCCTCTTTGCGCCGCATCTATCTCTTACTTACGCAAACCTCCCATCGACCTGATAAAATCACGACTGTATATATATATACCGGGTGAATCCGAACTTTACGAATGAAATGAACCCGTGACCACCGTAATCCTGTGTAACGTCCAGTTAAATGTCGGCAACTCGATTATATAAAAATAACAAGCTTGCAGTTTGAAAACAATTACGAGAAATCAGGAGGTAGGAGAGCGTTGGGTCAGTTTAGCACGCAATCACGTACACGTTTACTTTGAGTTTGTATTCGAGAGTGCTGAGATAAAGGAAAGATACGAATACGTAACATAGTTGGACGACCGTATAGATATACGGCATTAGACGGATACGGACGGGAAGAAATCGTTGTATGTTCTCGTAAAATTAATAACACATTTGGCACGCGCCGCACTGCCATTACATGCGAATGGAATTCGTACAATTGTCTATGGGTGGGTAGTACCTGCTCTTGTATATATCCCATATCCACGTATTCAATGCTCACGTATCGTGGGTTATCTCTTCGTTTGATTTTCTCCCGTACTAAGCGTCGTTATACACGGACGTTAACGACCGTCAACCACTTTAACGGGTAATCAACGTTGAAAACGTGAAAGTCCGTTGAATGAACTGCGGGAACGTTTTGTTCAGATATCGTGGCAGCACTTGGCCGATCCTGGCGCCATCTATCCCATCGCTTCGGCGTCACCTCCGTACTCGATCGCTTTGCACTCGCGCCGCAACACGTCTCTCGGTCGCCATTGTTTTTTTCTGTCTAAATTGTTTCAATTGTTTAATCCAATCCGACAAATGGCTCGAAGCGTAACGCGACACGACGCGACACCACTGGACACATTGGCTTTGGGTAACGGCGGCAACTGTTAACCCGGGTAGCGTCGGGGTCCACGATTTACGACGCGATTTACAAATTGGCGGTTATTGTACCACTCGGAAATCAAACTGTCCTCTAAATCAAAACGTGTAACGGGCGTTCATTACGTCTGGCGAATTTTAGGAAAATCGCTTCGGAATCCTATTATACGTCAAGCTCTGTCGTCGTGCTACAGAAAAATGTCGTTGGATACCTAAATTCAAACACGCTCGTTCACTTGTGCGTAGTTTTTAAGATGACTGTAGGCTGTCAAAATGGAAGGTACCTTATTTTATCCCATTTTTCTCTCTCTCCGTGTACCTTTTGTCGAAGTGTAAATTGTGACTGGTGACCAACTCTTATGGGACTCGTACGTCGCTCAGCTGGTGAGTAATGAAAATTTATGATTTCTGAACTGCGACCTGCGACTGTTCGATGCACCGTAATAGGTACGGATATGCATAAGACGGTTAGAGAGGTGTGGAAAATAGGTGGAATTATTATGGACCTCTCTCTCTTTCTCTCTCGAGTACTGCATTGCAGGTATTCGGTACAGGAAATAGTTTGCAGCTTTGAGACTATCAGATGTTGCTCCACTGATATGACGTATTGCCATAGCGTGACAGGGCTATAATTGATAATGAGTATTTGTCAATAATCAAATTATAAGGAGACGTTAACTACGTGACATCACAACCATCCCTCCCATAGGCACAATTTAAAGGGTGCTTCGAGACTGACGATCACGGTAATAAGCACAAATCTTTGCGATCGTAAAACAACCCCTTGCTCTCTATTCGGCGACTCGTACTCGCGACTATGCCGACTTCGAGCGAGATATCGGTCTGTTTCGGCTCTACTTGGCAAGTAATAAAATACGATTAACGAGGTTTCTTATACGTATTATTATTTCACGTGATATCGCGCTGCTATACATTGAAGGGGGTTGCGTGCTTTGAAAATCAAAGAATTTAAATGTATTTAAATGTAACAATGAATCCAAGTTTGATCGGTGAGATCGATCGTTGTAAACGATAGATCCTAATTTTCCTTACGATCGATATTGCTCATTTTCATTGACGTTACACAAGGTGGGCTTAACATTTTTGCTGCTTAAAAAAAATCAAATGCTGGGGCTTGAACGCCATTAAGCTTATCGATTGCTACCTTATTTGCATTAATAATTGCTTTTCTCTTTCATTTCATCAAATTATCCTATCGAATCGAGGTCGTTCCATTGTCGTTTGCAAAGACAAAGAAACGAGAAGCCAAGATAAACGAGTTGGCAACGTAAAAGTATAGTACTGAAAATGAATGTAACGAAACCTCCTGAGAAACATCGGTGGCCACAGTAATTCTCATTATGACGTATTAAAATAAAAATGACAATCGGATCGTATGACGAATAAAGAATTTTAGACTAGTATTTCTATAGTAAAAGAATTTTGAATAACGCTAATCGCTTTTATATATCAAATCATAATATTAAATTTCTCATATACGATATATCTATGTTTCTGCGTAAATTAACCTCACGACGTACCCGTACGACGTGCTATTTATACATGTTAATGAAAAAATTACAAATCCAATGCATACGGATGGTCCAGGAGAGTTTTCGTAATTTTACGGAGACTGCAGGGATTGCAAATTTCATCGTGTCCCAATGGCCGGGTCTCGGCGTACAGTACACCCAGGTTCTGCAATTGCCAACTTAAAACGTCCGTACTGTCAGCAGTTTCGTTGTGCCTCGTAACGTAACTTGGAAATTTCAATACGACATCGGTAACCGCAGTTAACGTTGTACGGTCTTGACTGAACTCATTTATCCAACGAAACTTCTATTATGCTCGACTATCAAGCTGTCAGGGAAAGATTGATTGTCATAGAAAAATAACATACAAACTATATATATACATACACACACCAGATACTCAAGTTATGCACACATAATAAACTGCTCATATGACAAACGTGAAAGAAATTAAAAAAAAAAAGTGTTTTAAATAAAAATTCTTTTTATAAACACTGTATAAGCTTATCGCATTATTAAGCAGGAGTCTAGGGCAGCTGTAAGACAATAGACTACGCCAACAACAGTGTTCTAATCTGCAGTGACGTCAAGTGACACTTTTAGCTTGTCAGTGCTCAAAATTTACTCCCAAGAAATTCAACCAAATGACATCGATCGTTGTCATAGATTATTCGATGTACAATTTACACTGTTAAAATTATCCTGCCTTATCAATTCAAATTCAAAAAATCTAATCGTAACGTTTATCAATTTTTTTTTTATTACGTTTTCACGTAACGACAGTTGCATGGAATGGGTCAGTTGCGAAACAATTGATGTCAATAAAATCGGTTATTTTCGAAAATGCCATTATCAAGGTATCCCGTTACACTGACTAGTACTGAACAGGTCTTTAGGCACTGGCACCCGTTGTTGCACCGTCAATTATTTTCACTCAACAGCGTTAACGGTCCGAGGATTTTCAGTATCGGAAGCGAAATTTGTTTTTTTTTTCTTTTTAATAATAAAAAATCCGGTATATACCTACCTACACGAAAACTATCCAGGTAAATAGTATTGTACGTAACATTATACACGTGAGGTCAATACGTACTATTTCATGGTAAATTTTTTGGTCTCTTCTCCACGTGACGGCGTCGCTCGACTCCACCCTGGATAACGAAGCGGCGAGTTTAACGAGGTTATTAAGAAACTCGTCGTTCCGTTAATTAACTATAGAACATCCACGGCACTTCACTACGTCCCCCATTCGAGTACGAGATGATTTCGCGCATTTCACTGTGACAGTCGCATCTGTTCCTTGGACAAAAGCATAAGCCCTCGTAGATACGTAATATTTATGGGGCACGTAAGCACATCGGAGTGGAGCCTAAAGAAGGTTGACGTCATGAAACATGCACGCGTCGAATTCGTATAATTCGTCGCGTGACGTGACAGTTTCGAGAATCATGACAGCTGTCACAATGTGGCCTGTTGTCTCCTGTACGAAGTGTACGAAGAAGTGTGTAAGTTTATTGAATAAAAAAAAAATTTTTTTGCCATATCACCGAAAATATACGAAAAATTGGTGAAAGTGAAAAAAAAAAATTTTTCCAATACCTCGACCACGGGAAAACTGAGGAAAACTTAATCGTGGGAATCGCTGCAAACCCGAATGCATAGCCTCTGCCCGTGGACGTTTACACCGGTTACGTGTACGTTTTTCTTTTTGCCCGTGACAAATTGCGCGGCCACGAAAAACGAGGTGTAAATATTTACGAGGTTCTTCGCGCAGAAACCGGCGGCCGCAAGCGGCTCGCGTGCAATACGTTACGGTCTGCCCAGAAGCTCCGTGAAAAGTGGAGGCTCCCGAGTGCGCCGTAACGTATTTGCGAATTGAACGTAGCGAAAGGGAAAAAAAGGGGTTGGTTAAAAAAATTTTTTTTTTTTTTCGAAAAGTAAAATCGAAAATCGCATTCATCCTGTAACAACGTGCGGCACGCATTTAGCATTGCAAACTACGAGGAACCGAATGAAATGAATTTCGAATTTACTTTGATGTTGAAAATTAGCAAAGAGTCGCTACGTGTTCGGGTGCGTTTCGCGAATGTATTGCTGGGCGCACGTTGAACGTCACTGGTAATTGTGTTTGCATAACCCCATCGTAAGGGTGACTGTCGAAACATTCTCGGAGTGGCAGCTAAAGTTGAGCGGACTCGTGTGCGTGGAGAATTCTTCAAAAGGATATTCAAAGTTACGTGAAAGGAAAAAAAAAAGAATTTCAAAGGGAACAGCGAAATGAAATTATTGGATGTCACCGTTTTCCGAACTACGAGAAAAACATTTGAGCTTAACAAGCAAGACTGGGTGACTGTATCAATTTTGTGTAATACCTTTTTTTTCTTTTCAAATTTTACGAATATCTCAAAGAAATTACATCGATTTCCATACACGTGAAATTTTCGTTCTTTGATCTTACATCTCTTGGATCTTACTTTTTCATTCCCTTTTACATGGCTTTACGTTATATCGGGTACTACGGTATCTTCGGCAGTCGAGTATCGAACTAATGAACAGTCCGTCACAAACTTTCGAAATCGTCCATTATCCCGCTTTCCGTGTATTCGTGCTTCGTAAATGCGCTTCGACGCGTTAATAAAGGAAAAAGACGCTTGACGCGTCTTCTCGTTAAACTAGCCGAGGAGGCGCCGTAGCCGCGTTCCCATCGGAGTTCGGCAACGTAGTGCAGCGTTAACGGCGACTTGGACCGGCTACCAATGTTAAGGGTGAGTTCTCGTAACGCGAGCGACGCTATACGGACTCCGCGACTCGCGCCGGCAGACTAGCGCAAGCAGCGCGTAACTTCCAACGGAGAAGCTTGCGCCACTATCGCGAGGAGCACGTTCCTCCTGGCCCCGAGTGAATCCGGACACGCGCGGTAACTTTGCGCATGCGCACTGACCGCCCGTATAACCGAAGGAGATACTTTCCTTACCTCCGCAACCATCCCACTCACTCGCCCCCGTCGTCCCTCTGCTCTGTCTCTCTCTCTCTCTCTCTTGGACTAGGCCACAGGCCCTGCAGTCCTTATCCGTCCATCCTCCTCTCGGCCCGCGAGCGACTTGATTGATACCAGCGTAAAAAGGGCCGGCGCTATTTTTCTTGGCATTTTTGAACTTTCACCCGTCCGAAGATCCGCCGATAGCTGGCAAATTGGACTGTGCTTGATGTATATCTCGAATTTGATTATCAAAGGAGGGAAGTCCCTGATCGATCTGTATAACGGTATAATGAGAAAATTTTTTTTTTTTTAGACAGTTTGACTGTGTTTTTTTTTTTACCTTTTTTACACGTGGTTTCTGCACAGTACGATTTGGGACTTTGATTCTCTCTTGTAGAACTGATTTTCAGTTTGCGTTTAACAGTTAATTAGACACGTCTGCAGCTACAGCGCGTGCACCTGTGTCTGTTGGCGTTTCCGAAGCGCTGCACACGTGTCTATCGACTGAACCTGGAATGACTTTGAGCTCGATATCAAAAGACGGTAATTGTGCGATCCGTACTCGAGCTGAAAGTGCCCGTCCCTGAAATTGTTGGTTTCGTCGTCAAACGCCGCGACTTGGGCGATATCGCGGTTGCAGGGTAGAATTAGAATTAAAGTAAAAAAAAAAAAAAAAAAAAAAAAAAAAAAAAAAAAAAAACTTTATTCCCATCTCGTCGGTATAAGAATAAATCGCGAGGATGCTTTATTATGAAATCGGAAATTGGCGTCGATCTAACAGCTGCTATTTATTCTCGAAGTGATTACAAGCACCGAACAATTCGAAACGTTAAGATGATCCATGGCAATGTACGTACATTGAACTTTGATACTTTGAGGTTGGCAACTTTTCTTTCCTTCTCGCGCGTTGCCACTTAAGAAAACATCAACGGCAACAGCTGGCTCCTCGAACTTTCAATTGTATCCAAAGTCACGAAAGCATTCCAATTGCCGAATATAAATATACCCAGGATATACCTTCCCAGGAGATTCGTCATACTCGCTTGAGTGTTGCCAGCCGAATGGGAAAAAAAAAAAAGAAAAAAAAAAGTTATCGTTCATACATTTATTTTTTACTGACAACCGTACAAGTTTTTGAAAAAAAAAATTTTTTCGCGTCTGAATACAATTTTTTTATAAATAAAACCTCCTACCCTTGTTCTCGTGACTGTAGGTGAATAAAAAATAAAAAAATTTACATGACCCACCGAGCTTACCGGGCCACACTTAATAAACGCGGATACGTTTACTTAATTAACGTTTTCTTTTATCAAGGCCAAAACTTCGTTACCGACTTTGATGCTCTCGTTAGCTGATAACATTCTTGTCACATAGGAACCGCGCGGGCGGTAGGTTAGGTTAGGTCGAGCAGGTGGATAAGTGGGGGTGGGCTGGTACTTACGCTGACTGACGCATCTCACAGCCCTTCCCTCAAATTCGAAAATTAATTCAATTTAACGAGCCTCCCCCGTGAGAGGGACAAATCCTCTCTCCCTCCTTCTCACTCGCTCCCGTGACGAAGCGTCACCCCGGCGATGGCTTACCGTTACGTAACTCCAAAGTCACGGTACGGCTGGATCGTCATAGCTGGGGTTCGCTAGACCTAGGGCAAACTTGGTACACCGATAGAACCGTTCATAGGGTATTCCTTGGAGCCATGATCAGTCTAGCATACCCAATTTCAATCTCCATCCCATTTTCCTCGATTCTCTCTTGTCCCATAGTCACGAGCCAGGAGGCTTCTTGGCTTCCGGGCTACGAGGCTTCCTCGGTTGGCTTCGTTCCTTAGGAAATGACGTTCCGTCGAGTCCACTTTTGGATTTTCACTCGGAGGATGATTCTTATTAGTATCCCCACTGTAACCAATGGACAATTGAAAAGAAAAAAAAAAAATTATTTTTTTTTTCAAAAATTTATTTTTTCATTTTTCGTTTTAGCCTTAATATTTGCCTCCAGAGGCGAAACTCGTCGTGCCCGACTGGACGCAAATGGCCAGGACGAATCTTCGTCGAATAAGAGATACGAGGAGGAAGGCATTACGTGCCGAGGTAGATTCGCGTGGAATGAAAATATTGGCGAAATCTCCGTCATAAGGAGTAAAATTACGTAGCAGAGGGAAAAAGCGTGGGAAAAGGATTTTCGCGACCTTTTCGCACTGCATCCAGGAGACTCTGACCTGATAAAATTGGTCCGGGTCTCCGCCGGCGGAGAGTGGATGCTCGTAGCGCGAACTGCGGACAATAGTTACTCGACGAAATAATTGGCTGATATGATCTAGGGAGATAAGACCGTCTCGACGAGACAAAAGAATGTTAAGCACTCTATTATGCGTCCGGATCTTCGTTCCATTCGAGCCAGTATTTCTTGTAACCCCCAGGACGTTAAATCGGCCGATCGTTAATGGTTTGCGGTGGAATTGAAATTTCCATAAGGACTCGGCCGCGCTTACGGTTATTCAAATGTTTTTAAATTTCGCGCCTCTTTCGTCAAACCCGTTAACGCTTTGGCTTTCGGTGCCCGGTTAAACGTTCGCTACCTGTCGCCGTCTGCCAGCCTAATGGCCGTTGAGAGCGCAGCGGATCTTGGCCGCGTGGGAGGGAAGGAGACAGACAAGGAATAAGGAGGAACGAAGCGAGATGGAAGATCCAGGTAATACGTTAAAAGCGGCTATTCCTTTCTCTCTTTCACGAGAGACACTTCGCCAGATGCTTTTCGCAGCTTGTTGCCAGATCCCGGGGCAGTGCATGGCTTTGTGCGATCATCTAACGAGCTTAATTATCTTCTCCCGGGCAACCCTCACTATTGCCCGTATGCTTGTTTTCCTGGCAGAGCTCCGTACCGTGAGGTGCAGGGAGAGCAAGAGTGAGAAGGCGGTGGGCGGATAACAGAGAAAAGAAAGGACAAAGAGGTATAGGGGAGGGTAGTGACGCGGATTTTGGATAGGAAAAAAAAAAAAGTTCGAATAATTAATTTCATTTCGCATTTCGGTTACGGGAAAATCTCTGTCAGGTGGCGAAGGGTCTCGGGCGAAAGTAGATAAAGTAATTTGGAGACAGAATGGGAAAGCAGGGGTAATTCTCTATTCCCGTATAAGCCAAGCCCCAAACAGCAATACCGAAACCCTGGAGAACGTTTGACCGTGTAAATTCACCGAAAACGTTCGAGAAACGTTTTATCGGGTCATCGGGGCGGCATTCGAGGCTGCGGGTCAAAGGTCGAGATTTTTAAAATAATTTCTTAAATTAATTTAACATGCAGACAGATGGTGCTTCGCGGTTCAGCTTCCTCGAGTCTCTTGCGCAACGGGCCAATAGTTGTTAGTTTATTCGCGTAACGACGAGGAGCGGGAAAAAACGAATAAGAGGCGGTTTTATTGCTAATTCGTTCATTTGCGGGAAATTAGGGAGGAGTCAGCCGAGCACGCATATCCCCTACCCAGGAGAATCTTCCTCCCGGATGAAACTTCCCTAACGAAACATCCCTTCTAACGAAAACGTCCTCGAGGAATGCCTTTCGCCCGGGGTATCTTCGTGGTATAGCCCAGGGGTGGTTTCGACCCGAAGTTAGGGAATGACTGGGTCGAATGTCTTTTTTTTTTTCCATCGAAAAACCAAACGCGGTTGCACCCCGGTAAGTTTAATAGGCGCGAACGAAACAACCGACAGAAACGAATTTACTCGGTCGCGGTTAAAGGACGTGTGTAAAAAAGCTGAGTACTCGACGGTCGATGGGCGAATTCTCAAAGTACCCGAAATTTGTCGATGCTCGTCGAGAACGCGATAACTAGTTAAACCCAATAGGACGAATTAGGATTCAAGCTGCGATCCACGTAGGCACCCAGAGCGCTATGTACCTTGGTGACTGACTGGATAATACGAACTGGGCTGATACCCAGGTTGAACCTGACGAGCCTACTAAGGTCAACGTGGATGCTGAGACCTGATAAAGTTTTGTTACCCGACACCCAGTCATTCTTATTTTCATTTACTCAAATCGTCTTTCCGGCACGGTGCAACCTCAGTCGTTGCAGCTTCTCTGGATGTCCACGCGAACCAGGCTGGTGTATTCGGATTTTGAGGTTAAGCCCACGTGATTGGATACCATTGATCAAAACCCTGTAAACTCCAAGTGCCCAGCGAGCTCTGAGGTTGCGTGCGTTCTCGAATGCATCGTGAACCACTGGGAGCGCATTGTTAATGGACTAGAAAAAGTATAACCGTGCAGGGAATATCGTATAGTTAGGGGTGTAAGTAATGGATGTGTCATATAATTGCGTCACTTAACGAGAAACACGTTCGATCTTCGTAGTTGTCCCGGGAAACGGGATCCGGACGTTAACGTTCGTGTCACTCTATAGGGCTCACTGGATTTCGCCATTAGTATGCGAACGCGTCCGTTACGGAGACAGATAACGGCGAGATATTGAAAACCGGAAATCGTCGTGAGTGGTCGGTGAGATTGTAAAACTAGAGGGGAAAAAAATAAAAGGAAAAGGGTCTGATCCAGGAAGAAGAGTAACTACTGCTAGCTGAGGTCGTAGATAGGGAACTCGAAGGGCTGGTCTTGCTCTTAGTCCCCTTCAATTCCTCAGGGTGTACTTAGGCTTAAGACGTAGAGATGGCGGTGGGTACGGTTGGAGAAAATAAAAGTTTTGGCCCCGGGAAATACAGGAACCTCGTAAACATATGTCTCTCAGCGGGCATTCAATTCAGAAGCCAGACGCTCTGTAGACTGGTAGCAGCCACCGGCCCCTCTTCTCCGCCCTTTGACCTCTCTCTTTAACCACCCACCCGTCCGCCCATTTTCCGACCTCCTCTACGTGGACCCCACCC